ATGAAACGCATCGCAAAGCCTTTTTCCCATTTGTCATACTATTTTTCTAAACACAGGCACAAGTTCAAGCACACACACGCACACGGGCACAGATGCACACACACACACACACAAGCATATGTGTGTGTGTGTGTGTGTGTGAGAGAGAGAGAGAGAGAGAGGGATGAAAACGTCTCGGTTCCATCACTGCATAGAAATAATATATTGATGTTTGCTCGATGAAATCTGTTTACTAAGACGGTTTGAATCTAGAATTTTTTAACATAAGGTAATGTTAAACATTCGTAATTGTAAAACAACATAAAAATATATAAACATACATACATACAGTCAACAAACTTATACATATATGCATATATGTGTGTGTGTGTGTGTGTGTGCGTCTGTGTGTCATTGCAAAAAAACATTCCCCATCGATTTGTTTACGTGAAATTACCGTTTTATCAAAATAAAACAAAATCAATGGGCCTCTTCCTGAAGCGGGATAATCGATAAATCGTTATAAGATCTGATTGACCATGAATTTGTGTTTGGGGTATGTTAGCATATGAATCAGTTTCTCAGTTTTGTCATTGCGTCTGCTGAAATAAAAACAGCAACTAAATCAACTTTATTTGCTATTCTGACTAACGCCATTGCTTAGATATTGTTTTTTTTTCTCTTTATCACTAATACAAAAACAATATTTGGTCCGCACGAAAACAGGTCATCTAGGGTAGATATTGTAAAGGCCAACGAGCGAGTTAAATATAAACAGATTGATATACATACATATATATATATATATATATATATATATATATATATATATATATATATATATATATATATATATATATATACACATACATAGTCACACACACACACATATATATATAATTCTCAAATGTATGTGTATGTATGCGTGTATGTGTGTGATCAGATGTTGTTTATGTGTTTCCACAGTTTTCATACAATTTCGATGAAATTTGTTTGATAGTTAATTCTTCAGTAAATAGTTAAATTATTGCAATAACATTATCTATATCTATATCTATAATTCCCAAAATAGGTGTGGATGTGTGTGTGATCGGATGTTGTTCATGCGTTTTCATTCGATTTCAATGATTTTTGTTTTTAGTTTGATAGATAATTCTTAAGTACTGGTTTTGAGTCCATATTGGCTGGAAAAATTACAACCTTGAAGTAAAAAATCGAAAAAAAATCAAAGTCCAAATTTAATTTACTTTTTCAGGCATAACCTTAAAATCCGAGCTCAATTCTGTGTGGGCGTGATTCATACCTCCGCACATTGCGCATCGGTTTCTGCTGATTTTGATAATTAGCGCGTGCAGCAAAGCGTGTACGTGTGGCCCTACAACAAGCGCTGGGCCACTCGCTGATACACGGTCATAGGCCTGACTGCTGAACGTGACCATTGTTGAGTTGCCCATTGGCTACACAAAGTTCTCGAATATTCAGGTCGGTAAAGTAAAATACTAAATAAACAGTGCGTCGACACAAATACGATATATATATATATATATATATATATACGTGTGTGTGTGCGTCTGTGTTTGTTTGTGTATGTGTGTATATATATATATATATATATATATATATATATATATATATATATATATATATATATATATATATATATATATATATGTGTGTGTGTATATAGATATATATACATATACCTGTGTGTGTGTTTGTGTGTGTGTGTGTGTGTATAAGTAATAGCTTCATTGATTTATGGCTGCTGCGGATTCAGGGGTGATCTACATGATATAGATTTTTTTCTGTAATTTTTGTGAGGTATAAAACTCTCCATTCCAGAAAGGATCCAATCAGTGATAAGGACAGCAGTTTTGGAGCCATCATGCTTTGACATCAATCACTGAATAGGGAGGTCTCTGACGTACCTGGCGGAGGGTAACACTTTTGCTAAGCATTTATCAGGACAGTAGGTTAGAAAGTGTCCGGAGAGGTTCGCCTGATTTCTCGTCGCGTCCGGGCCATGGGTCGGTTTTTCGATGATCTGTGTTCGTTGATAGGCGATGGACATCTGCAATATCTGCCTTCATCATCGGTTTTTGTTGGAGAGAAATAAGCATTTTTTATGGTGAATATTGAAGTCAGCGCATATATGAAATCTACCCAGGAAAAGTGAGGATATTATTAATTTTCTCAGATAATCGATCAAAGATTGCCTTCCCTTCGTCCTGAGGGCTATAGAAAGCAAAGATGAATGTGGTACTATGGATGAGCACTACGCGGAAGCACATATACTGAAGATCAGGTTCCTCGTTTTTCGTCTCTGCCACAGGGTTACTCGTCCTTGATGTTGGCTCCGAGCCCGTGGCCTTGATGAATTAGGTGGTCCTGTTTTGTAATAAGAGGTATGTAGCCCGGGACTGTGAACTGTGCTGGAAGCATTGATACCGATTTCAAAAAGTAATAGAAGGTCGGGTTTCGACTAAAGAACATGGTGTTCCACTTCTGGGGAGTTGGAACGTAGACACCTCAGGTTGGTGCAGGAAAAGATATACGTAGGGTCTTTTTTTAGCTTAGATTTCCTAGTTTTGTTCTTTTTCATTTTGATTGGTTTCATGTGTGTATTGACTGGTGTAAGTCAATGTGACAGGCACACCAACAGGAATTGCATGTATATATAACCTGATGCGAACCTTCCAGCGATAATGCCGTAGCAGTACCCTTGAACATAGCATCAAGAGGGCCCATCAGAAACTACTGCAAGTTTAAGAAATCATTGAAAAAAGGAATTACAATAGCCCCGATATACACTTGTTGATAAGATAGACTCCTTCTGTGGTATTCGAAGTTTCGGATCCCTGACTATCATGCGGATAGCACCAAAATCCAGAAAACATCTATCTCCAGCTCCCTTAATAAAGCGAGAATCAACACAGGAAAGAAGATACATGTGTGATGCTCCGAGTAGACATGTCGCGTCTGCCAAGAAGTCAAAGCAACCGAACTCATCCTTGGGTCAGAAACATCGTAACTGTCCGAGACGTAAAGGTACCAAGAAAAGCTCGCTCATATACGTGAGGACAAAAGAATCATTTGGAGTAGTAACGTGGGTTGCTCGGTGATACATGTGCATCGCCGACTATTATTTGAATTAATATAGTAGATGCTTGCTAGGGCGAGGGCATGCAATAAGCAAGTTATGTATTCAAGAAAAGAAAAAATCCAGGTGTACTAAGGAAAAGAATTCTGGATCTGTGGGAAGGTTGAGGATAAGGAGGGTGAAACAGCTACAAAGTCTCAATATCCACATGCAGGCAGATTCCAACGCTCAGAAAACAGAGAGAAAGAAAAAATATTACGAAATAAAATAAATAGACAGAGTAATGTTTTAAAAAAAAGGTTAAGGAAACCGATCAAAATTATCAACATACTTTAAGACAGACGAAGTTTTCTGCTGGGTACTTGAGCGAATATAAAAGCAAGAGTAATTCTGGTCAGGCCACACTTCGTAGGGAGAAAGGCTAAATGGCTATGGGGCGGAAGTTATGCTGGGATCACCATAGTTTCAAATATTCACTTTCTTGGATAGCGAGTAGACAAATACCATCGCTCAGTTTACCACGCTGGAAAAAATTCCATTAAATGTACTTTGGTCGTTCCTGATCTGCTGGTTGATGTGTACACGGATTGCACTGAGTTCTAAAAGCTGACAGATCAATCTGCGAGAGAGTGTGGTGCATGTGTGTTCAATGTAAGTACTGAATGATATTATTTGATTATTAGTGTCGGAGATTTAATCTCCCAGGTGGCATAAGAATTCATAGGCAACGGTAATTTTAAATAGTGCGGTGTATAAACACCTGTGTCGTTGGTAATAATTCAGTTACATGTTTTGAAATTATTAGAGTAGATGATAAATCATGTTTTTATTAGGATAACTGAGGAATATCTAGAAGTTATTTATGTTTTCATTGCTTTTACAATCTGATTATAATTAGGGTGCATTTGCTTACACTAGAATAATTTAATGCGGTGTTTATTTTTGTTTGCATCGGGGGTGTCGGTGTCATTATTTTTCAAATTTCTTTAAGACTAACTTTAATTATTCATCGACAACATGGTTAGGGAAAATATTGTTGATTGGGATTTTTTAACGTTCCTTATAGAATAATATCTCCGAAGAAGTGATTACTTTCTCGTAAATGCTTTTTTATAACAGCTATTTTGTATCTGTGAGGACATTCACGTTTGTATTTGAGCAAAACTATGTTTCTGCTAATGCGTTTTTTTTTTTTTTAGTAAAGGGGCTGGTAGAATAGGTCTATTCGCATCGACTAATGCATCAATAAAATAGATTTTATTGTTAATATTTAGTTCGTAAATAAAGTAGAGTTATTCGCAAACGTTTGACTTTCATTTATTTTTAAAATTTTTTAAGCAGTTTGCTAATAAGAATATGTCGTATATTTACTGTGCATATGTGGAGCGCATGGTGGAATTATTGAAGACTTTGTTTTCCACATAACACATGTAGAAATTATTGTCGTTTCAAGGACTGAATCTCTCGCTACACTTACATTGCTTATAAATGTTGCCGTAGTGGTCATAAAGTAAATAAATAAATCTCATTCTTTTTTTGCAGCCTCGTTCCCAGTCTCCGAAAGAATACCAAGATGCAACCAAAGGAATCCTGACTACCACAGAGATCACACAAAGGTTCATGGTAATCACTGCGAAAGGTGAAACAACTCTCATAAAAATAATAAAATATAAATTGAGGAGAGTTTATCCACATTTTCGATCTCAATATTCAACACTTTATCAGAAAATTGAAAAAACAAATTTAATATAAAAATAAAAAAAAATAAAAAGCATGAAACTGTCAGTCGCCTCTGAGTTTTGTTTCAATGTTCACTTATATATATATATATATATATATATATATATATATATATATATATATATATATGTGTGTGTGTGTGTGTGTGTAGAGAGAGATAGAGAGAGAAGGAGAGATGAACAGATGTAGATCGGTTGATATTAACAGATAGATAGATAGATAGATAGATAGATAGATAGATAGATAGATAGATAGATATGAAAAAACTAATATTTTCTCTCTGATATTCTAGGATGTTTACATTATTTGCATGGAGGATATTACTGCATGATGACAACAATAGTCCACATGTAAATAACGGCATAGATATGAAACGACTGACGTAGACGGATAGAAAGAGACCGATTTATACATATATACACATGCATAAGTATGTTGATATATACATAGATGTAGATGAATAATAATATATATATAACCAAAAGTAGAGAATTATATAAATTGACATACACACAAAGAAAACACACAAACACGCACACATATATTAACGCATGCTTCATTAAATAATATAGACAAGTTTTGTCTATTTATTTTAAGTAGGTTCCTTTCATATTGTCTGATGAGTTTAATAACATTATCATTGAAGGACGAAAGGAAATCACCATATGGATACATGTATAAATCATATCTAGGCTTTTGGCTTACATAAGCCATTAAAAAAGATCACAATTACTTTTCAATATATCAAACAATACACGGACGAAACAATAATGATAGTGTGGTTTATGCTGCAACTATGCTGAGCAGACCTGTGAAATCGATCACGGTGAGATTCGAACCTGTGACTTATGGTCAGAAAACGGATGTTCTAACCAGTCATATATATATATATATATATATATATATATATATATATATATATATATATATATATATATATATATATATATATATATATATATATCCAGGAATGATATGAACAAATAAAGTACAATTCCAACGTTCATAACATTGAATTTAAAAGAGAGCTCAAAACAATGTAGAGAAATATGATTTATTTTAGGATTTCACACCGAGTGAACGCATCTTATCAGGCGAGGTGAAAATTACTGGCGAATGTATTCTTCACTCGCCAGTAATTTACAATCGCCTGATACGCATCGAAACATGACTGCATGTATGTAGCGATTTGGACATGTTTCAGTGTAATATACAAAAAAAAAATAATATATATATATATATATATATATATATATATATATATATATATATATATATATATATATATATTACAGAAACGAAAGTGCGTAATTTAATATTACATGACATTTTTTAAAAGGGAAGCAACTGGTTTCGTTCCGCTCTTCAGGCATCTACGGAGATTCAACTTAGATTAAAATAACAAAAAAATGTGTAATGATAAAAGAGAAAAAAACATGAACACAAAGTGTTAGAGACAAATAACAAGGAGTCCCAACAAACATTGTGGGAGCGGTTGCCGCGTTTTGAAATAAAAACGAAGCAACCGGTCTCACAATATCAATATATATATTGAAAGAGTAATGTAATATAATATAAAACCAACTACATTGTTTAACTACGTATGCTAATAAAGGAATTTTAATGAATTCAGAATTTTCAACAAAAGGAATATGAAGTAAAAATAAAATTAATAAAAAAGTTTTCAAATTCTAGCTTTAGACATGTATTATTATCTACGGAATTAAATAAAATTAGATATAACATATAGAATTAAACTAAAAGCAGGGAGTTAATGATGAAGAACTTGTACTCAATTTTATAATAGATGCTAATGTGGTCGATATCGTCGAGACCATGAACAAGTACAGTAATCTTCACTGTTCATCACATACTTGTTAAAGATTAAAAGCGTGTAGTGTATGTTTTATAATGTTCATTTTTTTAACATCTCAAATCTTATTGAATTTAATATTGTATTTCTAAATCCACACGAATCCATTAACGTGGTGTGAGAATTTAAGAAACCAAAAGACAATTTCGATTATATCAGCGTATAATAACGATAATTTCTTATTTTGGAAAGATGTTGAATCTCTATAACAAGACAATAGTTCATATAAATCTGTGTATATGTGTAGAATAATTATAAAAGCCCATCTCAGCATTTCCCAGAGTGATATCTTGTTTATTTCATGCAAATTCAGAAAGAGATTAGCTGCTCTCTCTCTCATCTAATGTATTTTATTATTGTCCTGTTTTATAAGCAACGGGGTTATACTGGAATTTGCATAGGTTTCAATCTACGTTTTAAATAACTGCTACTGCTACTGCTCATATCTTTGTTGCCTACTACTGCTGCTTCTATTACAATATAATTCCATCTTAGGGATCACTTTTTATTGGAGAATGAGAGTTTTTTTAATATCCTCGAATATATTTTTAAAAGGAATCCATATGACGCTAGTTATATATGGAACACTGGATGCAGATTATTTGGGTCTGTTAGGGCTTTTCTCAGAGTATTTTATTTTCTTTTTAGAAGTTAAAACATGCCATTTGCCTGGAAAGCGAGACAAGAAAATTTTTTTGGACGTCTTATTTTTTTTCCAGGGAATGGAAAGATATTCTCTCTGGGAGGCAAGCTGTAGAAATTCTATGTGTGTTTATGAGTATTTTGTGTGGATGCGTGATTGTAGACTTGAGCTTCGCAATATGTGACTATTATTAAATAGAACCCATTTTTATTGGAATATTCCTTTTGCTAAATTCTCATTCCCATTAAGAAATAATTTATTCATCTTTTTTTTTCTATCTCAAGATTGATAGCAAAATAAATAAATAAATAAATGGATATGACAACACTTAATGGCATTTGAATAATTTCCTATAATTCGAGATCTTCCTGCTTCTGATAAAAGTGCTTTTGTTTTTTTTTGTTTTTTTTTTTCTTTTATCTTTATCGTATTTTTTTCTGTTTGGTTTGGTTCGGATTGAAGATTTATTTTCAATGCTAACTTTCCATTTTGACGCATTTTTTTTCCTTACTCATTTTCCCTCTCTTTCCGTCTAAATATTCCGGTTATTTTCATTGTTTGTGGTTTTGGTATGATGATTATATTCAAAGAATTTTCACTCATAGTGACTATAAATTAACCCGCTACTACAGCAATTTACTTATTAAGATTATTACTGCAGCTCTAGGTTTTGTTATTATTATTATTATTATTATTATTATTAATATTATTATTATTATTATTATTGTTGTTGTTATTATTATTATTAAAAAACACTGTATATATATATATATATATATATATATATATATATATATATATTAAATAAAAAATAAATTAATGAAAACTCTCCCAGCATGCAAGAAAACTGTTCCTGCCGGAAATACGGGCATTCAATCACCTCAGCACGAACCCTGGTACGGACAACATGTGTTCAAGTTCTTTCTGTGATATGGCTTGTAATACTACGGAGTAAATTTCTCCCTTTTGCCGCATACACCAGAAAAAGAATTTGTAACCAAAAATATATACACATCACTACACACAAAAATATAAATAAATTGTATGAGAGTAACATAAAATTTAGCATGCTTTTCCTGTTATTTCTGCACGTTTTATTTTCTGTCAAGTATGTTTTTATCTCTGTGAACACGAAGTTAATTTCTGCTTTTATGATGTCAGTGAACCTCATCCTCCCCACATAATTACAATTATCATATTCCAATCAAACCTAAGTAAAGTACCCTTGGAAAAGATATGGATTCACCTCTTCTAAACAGCTATGGGCCAATTAGTAGGACTTGAATCAGTAAATGATTATTATCTCCAAATATCTAAAAACATTAAATGGCTTTAAATAAATGTTGACGAGACGTAAAAAATAAAATCAGTGATTTTTATTCCATGTAAATATATTATTTCATATAATTCATGATTTTCATTAGCCCACAACCTGAAGAAAATCTTTTTAATACATTAATTTTTACTTATACTACTATCAATTTAGGGTCCAAGATAGATATATAATCGATGCATCAGGTCATTTTATTCCGTTGTTATTGCATAATATCATCTTTTAGATTCTAATCTATGTCGAATGAGCTTCAGATACCTTGACACTGAGCTCTGGTGTTTCTCACTGACTCTAATAATTTATCGAATCGCAAATAAATAAATGATTCGTTTACTTAGTTTAATTATGGCTTTAACTATTATTTTTTCAGATAATTCGAATATTTCTTTTCATCAATGCCGTTATACAACTATAAAATTCATGAAAAGTCATCTGAGATTAGAAAATTAGCGGTCCAATGATGAGAAGCGGGTTCGAATTACACTATGGTCTATTTGCCGAGGTGACATCTTCATATCAGCCTGATGAGACGATACCAATGTGCAACACCGTTATGAAATACTGGTTGGGATTAAAGTTCACTCCAGACCAAAAGTGGAACTCAAATATGCCATTTTTTTTGCTAAAGATGTTGGAAAAGTAAAAGAGATGCAGGGCAACACCAAACTGTTTGCCTGTAGTGTACATTCTGGCAAATGAGAATACAGGATCAAATAGTTGTTAAAACGGAAAATATTTGGCAAATTGTAGACGTGGCTGTGTAAATGGACAGAGTGTGAGTGTAAAAGAAAGCAGAATACTTGGAAAATAAGAGGATCTCGCCTGTGAACAGAGAAAACAAGATTATAGTAAGGCTTTTGGTACGCTTGGAAACTAGTCAAAAAACACTAGAATCGACACTGTATGAAGAAAAATTGAAAATGTCTCTACAACCGCTGTAATTATATCCGGATTGATCCTAAGGAATGTGTGGGGGGGAGGATATGGGAAGACTTCCTGTCACAATCTCTCGCGATAGCCACCAGGCATCCAGTGTGAACACGCAGATGTATTATATAAGAATAATGTTAATAAGAATATGAATCTCTGTGTCAGTATTTTAGGCGTTTTCAGTTTTGTTATCTCTGTCTTTTGTTTACTCTTCCCTGTGGTTTCCCTTGTCAAATTTGTTCGTTGGTTCTCACGAAATCAACCATCACGTGACCGGTGATTAAACGAACCGAGTGAGAATCGTGTTGCAAGCATCTGTCTCCTCCAAGACATCTCTGACTAGCAAGAGCATCGAAAGTTTCTGAATTCGTGTAAAGTTGCCGCTTGTCGACTCGTGATACACACTAAGAATTCCTGTTCTCAAATTCCATAAACTCTGGCAAGACTGAGACATTGTTTCTGTCAAATTTTCATATGTTTTCCTTTCATGGGCAACACAAATGTAGCTGAATTTAATAAAAAAAAAACTCGGCTTTTTTATGAATCATTGTATGAACTATTCTGTTACTACCTACATTAATTATTTAAGAGTTGAAAAATAGAATTAAAGATTTTACTTAACCTTATTGTCCGAAAGAAAATATTAGAGCTAATGTCGGTGTTCATTACCGTTTAACGTATACACAGTTTAACTGTACGAATGTTTTTCTTTCTTTTTCGACAAAGAAATATCATTTTTCATTTCGGAATTTAGTCATTGGCGATATTAATATTTCAGTTTAGTCTGTATATACTGAGGAATATGTTTTTGTGGTTGGTATAATTCACAAGATGCAGTTTTCGGTGCACGACGTATAATGAACAATTTGTCTGTTTGAGTGTCGCAATGTAGCAGTCTTTAAGCAAGAAAGACGAGTTGTCATTCCATCAAGATTACCATTTGCTTGTTGAGTTTACGATGGAGAAAAAGTCTCTAACTGGGAAACAGAAAAGTATTCAACATGCGACATTTTCTAGAGTCTTAGCTTTATAAGATCATTTTTTTTTAATTCCATGCAACTCCCATTGTCCGATCAGTCAGGTTAACAACTTCATGATATATTTTATTACCCATTAGGCTACACTATCGCATTTTCTTTCACTTTAATAATGAAATATTTATATAATTAATTCATAGAAACTCTGCGAATATTATTATCCGCAACATATCGATTGAAACAAGACACGTAAGGAGTAATAAATAATGATGTTAAATATTATATATCTAAATCTGTTATCATATGAAAGCACGGTGGAGTAATGGATAGCAGCTTGGAGGGATCCAGTCGAATCCATTACATTCACTTACCTGCTAATACCCTTGGGAAAAGTATGAATCCTCGTTTTCTCCCTCCATCTATGGGTAAATAGCAGGACAAACCGGATGGCAACTGGTTTATCGCGGAAAGAAACTGCAACCCACGACGTGGAATAAATTCTGCCTTGTCAGTCATGATTGCCTAAGCGTGTATCACATAACTGACTGATCATAGAAAAAATAAAACCTAATATCTAGTTTAATTCTCTATTTCAAATATTAACCTAAAACATTCCACTATTTGCGACGATCTTTTACTATGAATGACTAAATTAATTAGAATTGTCCGTCGCATTGTTATAAAGATTGATTTTTCATCAAAAGACAATGGAAAGCACTGTGGTTATCACAAAATAATAAACCAGTTCGAAAATTCAAATTAGATTTGGTTTGGTTTGTTTTAGGTATATCAACTTAAATGGGTTATTTATGCCGATAAAATTTTTATTGCTGGTAATATGTTTTTCCTCAAAATTCTATTTCTGGAAATATTTTTCCTTGAACAAATCTATAGCCAGTAATATTTTTTTCAAAGAATATATAGTTGTTTGTATTAGTAATTTTTTAAAGTATAGCTGATAATAATTTTCCTTACTGCTGTTAAAATTTTTTTATTACAAAATATTTCTGCTATTAAAACCTTTTATTACACAAGTTTGGGTGTCAAATATTTGCCTATAGCTGGGACCCTAACAGGTGCTACCACTCCGGGTCACGGTGTAAGGGGAAACGCCAGCAATTAAGAGGTGGTTTCACGCTCCTCAAAACCTCCTGATCAGAGGCCTTGCTGTTGAACGTAGTTTACCGTATTGCCCAGGACGCGGACATAGTTTATCGTCATATCCAGGACAGTCCGAATTAGGATTCCATCCACTACATGTGAAGGGTGTCGTCACTGAAACCTGGAAGGACTATCATCTCTGATTATTTCCAGCGAAACGAGACACTGTGTTGAATGTTTTCTGATTTTCTAAATATATAAGGTTTGATTCGTTAGAATAACAATTCAAGAGCTCACCCGGGAAGACAAATCAAAGAAAAAATAAAATATTAGTTATTGTTGCTTCTTCAAATACTCCATACACACAGTATTTAGCACTTAAATATGTACCTCTTCTTTGGAAAAATATATTGAAAAACATTCAGCAACAAAATTAATCAAATGCAGGCTTTCAAAGGTACTTACTGAAAATTAAAAAGCAACAACAAAAAAAAAAAACTAATATTTCTTATAACTTCGAAACGAAAATGTGCCTTCCCGTTAGGCAACGCTCTTTGAAAATGAAGGCGATTACCTTTATCATAAATAATATTTAAATAGATCTAACTTACATCTAATCTACATCTTCATTTGAAATATTATACTGGATTCATATTAATGATGAATAATAAAACCCGATTTATTTTGCGTTATTTATTATGGATAATTCTAAACACGACTAGCCTTTTCATGAATTCAAAATTGGGAATACAAGATGGATATGTTGTTATGAAAATAATACATATTATGAGAAAATCAATCGAAAAGAATGCTAAAACGTCATTAGAGAAATTGACGCAAATATTAAAGATGCATATTCCGAGAAAATTAATCTGCAGAAAATAAAATCAAACAAAGAAATAATTAGAGGAATCGAGTAATTGTCTAATACTTACTTGGTAACCTATGATGCTTTACGGTTCGTGAAGGGAATGGAGATATACCGGTAGGGTGCTGGTTGTTGACGTCTCAAGCGGAATAGACGAATAGGGGTCAAATTATCGCCTAGTCTGCTGCGTTCGCTTTCGTATAAACGCCCTCCCAAAACTCCCAAATCTACCTATCTTTCTTCTAAGTAAAGGTTAATAAGCAATGTTAATTTAGGCTGATTCCTGCCATTCTAGAGGATGGGCTAGTCTGATTTTGAATCCATGGAGGATGTAACAGGAAAAGTTTCCGATGCAATTTAATTATTATGAAGCAAATTATTCCTGAAGGGCCATACCATTAAGATAAAAATATTATAAACAGCTTTTCCAAAAATTATTTACATCAACGTTATTACATGTCATAGCATCTCTTCCGATTGTTCAACCATCTTTCAGGAATGTCCATAATTTCAAACTAATATAATATTTTTCTGTTTCTCAGTAAAGAACTACTTTACAATTCGCAAAAAATTGAAGAATTTTTCCCCGAAAGGACATTGTAAAAAAATAAAAATAAATAATGTTCCCAAACTGCTATATCTACTGAATAGAGACGCGAGTTGAAAACAGCCAAACGTTGTTTGGTTAACAAAGAAACATGAAATCTCTCTTTTATTTTGTTGGAATATTAGGCTTCGTTCTAATTAAGAATGAGGAGGTATCCCTCGAACTTTGGATCCAGTTTCTCTGAATGCTTCCAGAGAAGCAAAACGAATTGTTCTTATTTAGGAATGCGATATCTTTGAAAATCGCCATGATAAATAAGGGTTCACTGGATTCTCTATACAATCTTTGCTTTCTAGGTTATTTTAAGGTATCCAATTTTCATCGCCAATAATATATTTCTCTTAAGTACAGAATTGCCCATGTTTAACCAATAAAAAAACAGTTAATATGTCAGTAAATATCCTTTTTGGTCTCTATCAACAATATCATTTTCGTAGCTAGAATCGCATTATTCCCATCGGTAATCATTTTTTTTTAATTATATTTATATAGACATACAAACAGTTCAGTTTAATTTGGTTCATGTAATAAAATAATCAAATAGTTCTATCCGAGCTTGGATATATCCCATCTTCTGCTTTCTTTAAACACAACGGATGCGTCATTCGTTGCCGAACAGTAAAGAGATTTGCAAGTGTTCATGATTTACTATAGACGAAAAGTGTGTGAAAGGAATCTGGGGACTCATATTAACATCAGCTCTGGATGTCGTTTGGTAAAATCCTAATAAAACAATAGCCCTACTAATGGTGAAAATACAATGAAGAAACCAATTATTTTAGTGGCATATGTAGTTAAAGAATAGGACAGATATGTAAGACGATGCAAAAAGGGGACATTCAAAAAACAAAATCAACATATGCAAATGTATATAGTATCACAAGCCTGGTGCGTTCAGTCTGATTATAAAATGCGTGAATGACAAGAGAATTGAACCTGTATAGAGAAATAGTGTGGTAGAAGAGGATTTCAAACAATGACTTTTTTTTCCCTAGATTTAAATTCCCAACCAACCAACCATGTGAATTTTAGCTAGTTTTAAAATTGATAAATACCAATAAATGTCATCCAGTAGATCGTAACTATATTGCGGAAAAAGAGTTTTATGTAAGTTTTCATCAATATCCCTATCTTCACACAAACTATATTCCTTCACAATTGGGTATACTTTGAAGAGGACATCAGCCAGTTGTGAGATCTTAATCAAGCATTGCCTTTATAGATTCATTCCAGGAATAAATTAAACGTCGCTCTTGCATTCGAAATTAAATTTTCTTTGATATAGAGAATTCATTATTTTGTTTAATCATTTTATCATAAGCAACGCGATAATGCCGCTAAAATACAAGGCGTTACCTAGAGCGAAAGAAAATGAGAAGACGTTAGTGAAGAGAAAGAAAATAAAAAGATTAATCAGTAAGATAGAATATATTAATTACTGTTGAATTAAAATTTTTGGAGATCATGAGAGGTAGTGAAGCAAGTAACCGGGAGAGATTTTACAAGCTAGATGTGTGAGAAAAGAAATTATTAGAAGAGAACTTATAGTTATATTTACCTATTTCCACAATACAAATATGACTTACTTGCCACTGTAGTATTGCGCTTAAATTCATGCGGGCGAGGTACCATGGAGGAAACCTCTGTAAAACAATTGCTGTTTATAAAAAAGATATATTAAAACTGCGTGAAGACGACGTGAAAATGAGTCAATATGATAATTGTAGTTGATGTAAATGGAAAACGTCAGACAAAGAAGACACGATGTTAAATTCTGTTGAATATGTCGTCTGTCGTAT